GAGGATGAGCACATGGCTGCAAGGTACATGATGTTCTCGTGAACACAAGTCCGTAGGTCCTTCCCTAGCAGCTAGACTCTGACCTTCCAGCTGAAGAACATTGGTGACGGCCCTTGTTCCAAGAGGTTCCAGCACCAGGAATCCTCCGTTGAGAATAGTAGTGAGCCTGCCTACAGCTTTCCTACACTGCACTTTGACTCTCAGAGCGGTTTTGTCTTTGGAGGATTTGAAACTGGACTTGCATGTCACACACCGATTCAGCCCGTCCCAGAGCCCTTCTGCCTGCCTCCCAGTTCACTGCAGTGAGGTGTGACTCTGTACTGAGAGCACTTCTCCTTCACTGACAGCGACTCCCCACCTTTCTGTCTGAGGGTCGCAGCACCTTGGAGCTCATCCCGTTGTAGCACGAGTAACCCGAGAGTGTCCCTTAACAGCCAAGGGCAGCTTTCAGCCAGCAACGCATAGATTCTAGCAAGCGCCTGTGGGGAACTGGAACAATTCTTTGGTCCAATTCATATAACTTCTCAGGAGGCTCCCTGTGAACTGAGCCCAGTAGGTTGCAAAGATTAGCTCCCTGGGATCTAGGAGGTTAGGAGTGCAAAGGTTTGAGTTAAAGGTTCTGTATGTTTTTAGCACTGGGAAATTCTCTTGTCCCATGGGAAAATCCTAGCCTAATCCTTACACGTGATCACCTTATTAACATCTTAACTTCAAAAGAGTGAGGCACAGCAGTACATGTGTGTAATTGGGGACTGGACATGGTGGCTAGCCAATCTACCCAGATGTCTGAGGGCCAGGTTCACTGAAAGAGCTGTCTCAAAAGTTTTGTCATGAGCAAATGAAGAAACACCTGACATCAACCTTTGTTCTCCAAATGCATGTACACCCCCCCCTCTAACTTCTCTAAATGTAATAAGATGACGTTTTTTGTTGTAGTTGGTCCCAGATTGATACAACCACATACTTTTAAGTTGCTGGAGAAGCCAAAGGAAGAGGCTGAGTAAGTAGGTCTCATTCATGGATGCGGACTAATGTAGTCCCTATCTAGCTTCAGAGATGATTATTCAAGTGAAAGTTCCTCATGAATCCAAGTTCTGGAACCAGGCATCTTGAGTTCAAATCCTGGCTCTACCCCAGTGACGCTGGATGAGTAACCAAAATTTTAGCCCAGTGTCCCAATTTACAAAATGGGGCTGATAAGAGTTCTGCCCTCAAGACGGCTGGCCACACAGATGAAATGTGACAACTCACAGAAAACAAAGAGGATGTCTATGCTCCACAGGCCCTCGGTGGATATCAGTTCCTATCCCCCACTGTGTCTGACAGCACCGAGCTTTGAAGAGGCTCTTACAGTTCAGTTCCAGAGACCAAGAAGACCCTTTGTGGTGCAGATTCTGTTGTTAGCCAAGCTCATTCTGTGGGGCAGGCAGGAAAGACTACAGGACCGAAATATGAGAAAGACCAAGAGGCAGAGAGAGAAGAAGACAGAAAGCTTTTGCTGAGGCGGGTTGACATGTCCTGTTGGGATAGTGATGCAGGAGAAACTCGAAGCAATAAAATTCACTCTATAAAGGATTTCCTAATGAATTTGTCTAGGAAATACTGAGTCCAACAACGCAGAATTTAGCTAAAGAATCAGTGCCTTCAATATGCCCAGAACATAAGTAGTATGATATAAACTGTAGGAAAGACACTTTGGGCCCTGGAACACAATGAAGTTTGGGTTTTGCTCACCAAGACTGATGGCAATTAGGATCATCTCCCATAACAAAAGGAGGCAACCCTGACGTCCAAAGGGCCAGTATACCTCTTCCCATATCAACGAGCATGTCTGTAACAGGCAGCTCAAGGGGGTGGCACAGGATGACAGTCACCACGAAGCCTATGCCTGCCGTCATGTCCTGGTTCTCCTTTCAGGAAAGAATAATTCTGCCAGGTGGGCACAATGACCTTTGGTAACAGCTACTTGAACAATGCTGATCCACTTTAAAAATAATTCTGGGAATATCTTTGCTATGTAAATCTCTCATTTGCCCAAAAGTCAGACTTGCAATCGTGGGATTTTGTTTAAATTCTTCAGTGTGACTTGGAGCGGAGACCTGAAAGAGATTTAAGGACGACAGCATATGTGGAATGTAAAACCTAAGGCCTACATGAGACAGTTGAATTTTCTCTTTGGGTTCATTCTCTTTTGTACATTAGCCAGAAACCAGCCACATGCTATTCTGTTAAAGTGATTTTTCTTTATCAGTCTCTAAACTGTTAGAGTGATTTCTCAAGGGGAAGGCATATTAACACTATAACAATATGGGTGGGAGAGAAAACCGAAGAGTTGGGAGTCAGAGGTTGGGGAGGGTGGTCTAGGTTTATTAGACATCTTGGTCTTCTCATCTTTCTTATCATTTTTCCCAGATGTGTGTCCCTGGGTGGGCCTTCTCTTCCCCTCTGCCTTTCCCAAGGAAAAGGAAGTAGCTTGTCTTTGCTTTCTCTGCCTGCCTATACTTCCCCACATGCTTCGGCTACAGAAAGAGTCCTTAGCAACGATTTCCCCTTTCCTGGTCTAGGCTGACAGTGTGAAGCCCCTGCTGCCTTGGAGAGGTTCAGTCACCTGATATGATATTTTCTACCCACAGGCAACTCCTAGGCTGATGATGGAGGTGGTGGGGAGAGGGTGGGTACTACAATAACCAGCATGTTGTGAAACATGCTATGGCAGGTGTCTGTGCATGACACTCAAAGCAAAAATATAAAGCATTGTCTAGAGGATGAGTTCATCAAAGACATCCCTCAAGGTACTGATATCCTATCAAAGCCTGGAGAATGAGTGTTTCCTTGGCAGTAGGCGCTCTTGCCTAGACAAAGCATTTTCGATTAACACCCTGATGTGTCAGGGCAACCAACGTTCAGCTTTTATGAAGTAGGAACCATAGGGTATGCTTATGTAGATGGTGCCCTAGTAGGTGGGTGGGAATGTGACAGAACACTGGAAGGTAAGGGTGGGGGTGGGGCATGGTCACCTATCAATCATGACTCTATTTTAAAGACAAAAAATAAAATAATTTAAGCCAGTGATTTACAAACTTCCTAATTCTGTGATCCTTTAATACAGCTCCTCAGGGCAACCAAAGAATTATTTTGCTGTTATTTCAAACTACTTATTCTACTGTTATGAATTGTAACGTAAATATCCGATACGCAGGATATCTGATAGGCAACTTCCAAAGGGGTTGGGGCCCACAGGTTGAGAACCATTGATAAGACGTAGGTACTATAGAAGATTAATGAAATGGCATGGTTGTATTTCTGCTTCTCATAAGACCTCTGTGCCATAAAGGATGTGAAAGATGGACAGGAGGTTAGATTCAGAAATGTTAGGAAAAGAGGAACGGAGCAGGTGTCAAGAAGAGACCATTATGAGCAATAAGTAGACTCCACAGGCTACACATGGTGACCTGGGCAGTCAAGGTCAACTCTGAGGTGTCTGACTTGAGAACCTTGATGCCACAGTGGGTAGGGAACAGGGACTGTGCAGGGCCACAGGTGGAGAGTGTGGGGCTGAGCCCTGGGAGGATGGCATTTGTTATGGAGGAGAATAGGGTGCATTGCTTTCTGTCAATGATAGGAATTAAGAACACAGGGCTCCAACAATCTCGTTGGTTTTTAGTTAGGAGGGTGTTCTTCCCTTGGAAAGGGAAACTCTGAAAATACAGTCTGAGGATGCTGCTAGGGCAGAGCTCAGAAGATAGGATGAGGCTTCAGACCTTGGATATAGGCAGAAGTTTGCTCCAAGGCAGAAGGGGTGACATTTTCTCCCTGCCCTGTGGTCCTTTTGACTTAAGGATACTGATTTCCAAGACTGTCAATGTGCCGAAAGCCTCTGTCCTCCTGGACTCAGCTCCTCCCCAATGCTGCCCTCACACTTGGAATGTTCCCGGTCCCTCCAAGAATATTCTCACCCTTGAACTGCTTACCACAGGAGAGGGCACCATGGAAAAGGACCCAACTTCAATAGAACTCACCTTGTCTTGTATTTCTCAGCTCTTACAATCCTCTTCTCTTGCGGCTTTGCCGAATCACCTTGCATATCCCACCGAGGACTCATTTCCTCTAAGAAGCACTCCTACGATTGCACTATGAGCCTGCGCCTTTCTCGGTGTGGGCGCATACTCTTGAACGTCTCCACCATCATGCATCTTACCGAATGGAAATGATCTCAGTGCTAGTGTGGTCCTGTTATTGGGTGGCGAAACAGTGCACCTCCACTGCTGGCCGCATGGTAGGCTTCCAGTAAATCTCTCATAAGTAATAAGCAAGCAGTTCTTAACAGAACTGAATGGAGTTTGGACATAAACAAGCAAGGATGTTATATAAGCGAGGCTCATAAATATCCAATGTTTAAGGAGACAGAGTTGGAAAACTGTATACTCACTTATAACCCAATTCACAACAGAGAATTGACATAGTCTAGCTTGCTTATTTTGATATGTGCACCACTAATAAGGAGACAACTCTTTCCAAATTCTGCAGAATCATTCTTTTTCATGTGCATATTTGTAAAACTTTAGTCATTTCCAGGGGAAGATTTTAGCTTTACCACCAGTTCCTCATGTCAAGCTCTACTGAAGATTACAAATCCCAATCCATACCATGTGACAAAGTCCGGCCAATGAAAATGTGACTAGAAGGGGCTAGTCATGGAATCCCAGACAGAGGATGGTACGTATGACTTTTCCATTTTTTCCCCTTCCTGGCTGCGTTGGTGAGTTTATTCCATGCTATAAGTACCCTAAGTCTTTGCATCACTCTCAAGTATTGAGACAATCTTCAGTGGCTTTTCATTTGGACAAGAAATAAATCTTTGTTGTATTAGGCCATGACTATTTGTAGGGGTTTTCTGTGGCATCATCAACCAGTGACTTTGACCTGTAATAACACAAACCCCCGAGAGCCATTCTGAAGCATTTCTGAAACATCTCTCACAGAATCATTGAAACACCTACTTATTAATAAGTGGTGCAATCTTTATTGATTTTTGAGATAGAACATAAAAAATCAGGTAAGAATTGTTTGCATAATATATATGGAAATCAACCTAGTAAAGTTGTCAAATATTGGACAGAGCCAGAATATAAATTACACATACAGTTTAAAAATTACAGGAAACCATATTATAAAGAGCACTAAAGGGCACTTGTGGAATAGTTGTGTTCCCGTGTAAGCCAGAATGTGGAGAGCCTACTCATAGCACGGAGACAAATCCAGGGAGCAAGGCACCAGAATTCTATGCCGTAAAAAGGGGTAAAAGAAAATCCAACCTAAAATCAAATACAGTGGTTCACATCATTGGAAACATCAATTTGCCTTTCCACAGTAGGTGTGTTCTGTCACTGCTACATTAGGAAAAGGGGGGAATAGGATTCATAGCCCGTCTGAAGAAAGAGATTTTTTTTTCTAGTTGAAACAGGAAGGACTGGCAAATCTGATCACGTGCTTCCACCCTACGTCGGATTTTTAGAACCTGACACAGGTTGTCTCTCTAACAGCTTGCACCTGCTATTGTGGGTTGAAGGGCTGTCCAAATCCTCTACTTAGCCCTCAGGGAGGGCGGGAGGGTAGAGCTGATCTCCCCTTCCCTGGAACTGGATTCAGAAGGGTAAAGGATCTCCCTGTTAGGAGACCCATTAAGTGTCCATGCAGATGCATGTTCTCTTAATATTGAGAAATGGAGACATAATCCATCTGCCCACTTGGTCTCTCAGAGAACATGCTTTAATGGTTCGTTTGTGTCTGCACAGTATTTCAAAGCCCTAAAATAAAGATGCAGTCTGAGGCAGAAGAGGAAAGTCCAGGACTGAGGCTAGGGCACTTTTGAACTCATTCAGATAAACACAGTGACAGTGGATCTGTGGGGACAGAGAACAAAGGGTGTTTCTGGGAGTATCTGTGACCACCAGACTCCAAGGGCTAATGGACTCCAGTGTGAACCCTGTGAATAATTTATGTGGCATCACTTTTTGCCTCCCACAGCTGGTTTGTGAAAACATGCAGCGGACCTGCTGAATAGCAGGGGGCAGCTGACACAGTCACCCGTCTTCTCCCTGGAGCGGACTGAGGACAATCCTACTGTCTGGGAGGATTTGTGTAGGGGCAGAGCTAGGAGGTCTATGGATTTCTGTAAAATCTCTTTTCCTTGCAATAAGTGACATCTAAGTGGTTGTCCTTCTCTCAGCTTCAAATTCTGGGCAGCCAGCGACAGCCCTCAAGTGCGGTAAGGATGCGGTGTGCAGGCAATATAGAGAACTACCTCTCATGCCTGCCATTCCTAAGAAGAACTTAGGGGGAGCTGTTCTCCTAGTCCAGACCTCAATTTTGTGGACGGAGTTGGGAACCGGAGCACTGCAAGCAAACTTTCTCTCATTTTCATAACTCTTAGGTTTCCAGTTTTAGTCGGTATATTCCTAAGCACTAGGCGTGGCTAATTAACATAAGCCATTCTTGGGTTACAAAGATCTATGTTTTTTTTTAATACTATGTTAAAAATTACTATTCTTTACTGGCACTTCCTTCATTCTCAAAGGAGGGCTGTTCAGAGAAAAAAAAGACTCAGGCAGAATGACAATCTTTAAAATAATTCAGTCAACGAAAGACATCCCATGTCACTTTTCTCTTTGATTCTTTCAGGAGGTTTTGGATCAGCCAAGTCAGGATCATCAACATATCCTATCTTATCAATGGGTTTTGTATAGATTCTTGGGGAACACTGTCAAATTCTGGCAAATGTAAGCCCAGCCCAAGTGGAGACTCTGGAGATCTGTACAAGAGTCATGAAGGCCAGTTTGTTCCCTAAAGTGTTACCATAGTTACACAGACGTGGTATGTTCTGAGCAGAACCGAATCTAGGCAGTTTTTGGCAAAGGCCCAAAGAATATCTGCTATGAAATGGCTTAGCATGGGGATTGATCGCCTGGGGGTAAAGTGAGAAGAACCAGGTTTGGTCAGATGAAACCTAGATATTCCAGTACCAAGAGTCACCTTTGGCTGAACTGGAAATTTGTGGGAAGTCTGATTCCCAAAGAAATCAGGTCCTACTTAGATCTCATCTATAGAGACGTCTCCCTCAGCGGACCTGCATCTAAGGATGCAGCCCAAGGTGTCAGTGTAGCTGAATGCGTCAAATGGATGGACCAAACCAGTGACCCTGCCCAATCTTGGCACAATAGGAGACAAAGTGAGAAAATCATAATGGTGGGCCTTAGTCATGGACACGGTTAAAAGGTTGTTTTCTGTCTTTCTGTACTCATTAGCAGGAGGTTTACCTGGGCTCCTTGATGATGAGATACTCAGAAGAAGGGACATCTTGGGGGCATCAGTCCTGTTCTAGAGATAGAGTTAGGTTCTCAAAAAGTATTTCAACTTCAGCTGTTTCTCAAGGGAGGATGGCAATTTTTGTTTATCTTCCAGGGTCAGCATCTGGAACACGGCTCAGGAGACCTGAGATCTAGGTTCATTCTCTACTCAGTCTTTATTTTAGTCACCATGAGACCTGGTTAAAGCCCCTATTCTCTGAACATGCATGTTCTGCCCTAAAATCATGTGGGTGACCAAGGTCTTGCTACAAACACTTTAGAATCTGTGAAACTATACCTACGCAATTCTGTTGAACTGTACCTGACCCAAGATACTGAAGTTGAGGCTGCCGAAGGCTGAGATCCCATCCACAAGGGAGAGTCTGAACAGGTTCCGACCCTCCTCCTGAAGAAGTCCCAGTCAGGGAAAGGGTGCTGCTGGTAGCCATCATTCCACAGGTGGTTTTCCTTTCATATTTGGTTAGTTCTCTTTGTCTGTATCTCCTATAAGTCATTGTTTAAAAGAGAACAGGGCTACACCTGGCACTCTGTTCTATAGAACTTTTACCACCTAGCCACCAAGATCCAATAGTCTCTCCTATAAGTCATTTTTAAAAAGGGAACATGGCACTCTGTTCTATAGAACTGTTACCACCTAGCCACCAAGAACCAATAGTCTCAATGCTCCTCCCAGTATTTATCTTCCACACTTTGATGGGAAAAAAATCATGTTGCAGACAGGTACATGGTTAAAGAGCAACAGAAAAAAAAAACCTAGTTTTTTCATGCAATAATTTTGACTATATCTCCCCCAGCATTTTTTTCCTAAAAAAATATTTTCTGGTGTAAACTTGAGAGACATAGGTAATATCACTAATCAATGTTACGGAGTGCACACATATTGTAAAAGCAGACGTAAATCATCATTAGCAATTTTGGTATGGACCAGTCACTGTACTGAGGATTTTATACATAGTTGATTGTCTCACTTAAAATTTAAAATAGGATGAAATAGTTTTGAATGTCCCCCAAACCCAAGTTTTTATACAAGACATCTCAATATCACTTTAATTTGTTTGATACTATCATCACTCCGTGGTTGCAAAAACAACGAAAACTACATAGGTACTGTGGTCCTTAATCTGGGATCCTTCCTAAAGCTGGAAGGTATTGAGCTGCTGCCTGGTACCCTGTTTAGGGTATAGATGACTCGGTTTCAATCTGGGTAAAATCAGCTCTAGAATTTTCTTTTTTGGATGCAGAACGCACTTGTGTAGGTTAAAGTTCATGCTGGCAATAGCATGCTTTCAAAGACAAGTGAAGATAAATTCAGAAGGATATCCCAAAACCCCAAAGCAAATTAAAAATCTCTGTGGTCCTGGATGCCTTGGGGACATAGTCATGAGAACCACAGATGTCTAATCTCTGTAGCAATGGATCATGGGAGTCAGGGTCTACCTGGCAGCCTTGTCAAAAGTATAGATGACTTGTGAGGTCGCTGCTTCTCTTTCTTCCCGAAGTCTTTGATCTGCAGCTTCCCACGGGCAGAGTGACTTCCGTCTTTTCAGGGAGAGGTTACGCCATGATCTGTGCCAGATCTCTTTTTGGTCCATATGATGAAATAGATGCCCCAACTGCTTGCCAGACCTCCATCGTGGCGAGGATACAGAAGAGAAAGCTAGTTTCTCCGGGAACTTTCCTCGGAGCCCAGGTGCTTACATCACTCATTTGGCGGCTATAGAGCTCAGAATGATGAGTCCAAATGTAGAGTCCCCGTTCAGTGACCCTCGCCTTCCCCTGGATGACAGGATCAGTCACTTTTTCTTCCACTTTCTTCTGTGTTGAACCCCAATCCCCTGACAGGCCCTGCCCCCTCCCACTGTAAGCGGAAGCATGCCCATTGGAGGACAGTTGTCTGCAGCTCCGAAATCAAGTGTAGGAAGAGTCTAAAAGGATCCCTGACAGTTGCAGTCACCAGATTTCTTACAGCAGAAACCACACTCCGGTCTCTGAATTTCTGTTGCCCAACCCTTGGTGTTCAGTGATACTTAGCAAATCTTGCCCAATGAACAACCAAACGAGTACTTCCTTATTGCACTCCCAGAGTGGCATAGAATTATGAGGATGATTTTTTTTGGGCAAAGTTCGAGTAGGTTCTGTTATGTTATGTTTTCTAAGGGTGCTTACTCTTGAGCTACAATGTCTAGGAGCTGCTTTGTCCACAAGTGATGTAAGATGCATAATTGTTCATTTAATTAGTTTGGTTTTACCTATACACTTTGGTGTTTTCTATTTACTTCTTCACAAAAATAAGATTTTAAAACATCAGTGCCATATCTGATAAGTCTGAATTCTAAGCTTTAAAGATAATTATTGAAGAGAGCTTTCTCAATTCAATGTTTTCTTTTTCTCTCTTCCACAGTTCTAGTTTTTGTATGTTTTTAGTATTCACCTGTATGATAATATTTAAGAGTCAAAACTTAAACTCACTTTTATCAGCCCAATAGAAACCTTTTAATTAGCATTTATAAACTGGATTCTTCTCACTCATTTTTATCTTGTTAAAATATGTCCCCCCAATGAGTATGAATATATGTGTGTGTATGTGTTGTCTTGTGAGATATTAGGAATCAAAGTCAGAACTTTCTGTATGGTAGACAAGTACTCTACCACTGAGTTACACCTCCAGCCTCATGTCATCCTTCCACAGCTGCTAAGATTTCCTTAGCAGGCTGCAGAGTTACTGGTGTGGTTTCTGGGACATGTTATCCAATTCTTGAGGGTTATTCTGTCCTTAGATTCATTTATCTTGACTTATGACAGATCTTTATGAGACATACACTGTCATATCAGGTCCAGGGTAAAACTTCTGCATCCTCAGCGCTAGCCATGGTGACCAGGTTCTGATGAGTAGGTTTGGTTTGCTGGTCTAGAATTCTTTCAGAGAATGTTACTGTAGAAGGGCTCCAGACCATCTTTCTCCTGATTGTTTTCTTAGATAGGAAAGATCAGCTATTGAGGCTCATAGCATATGTCCTTCCCACAGTATGTATTTGCTTGTGCCTTTCTGATACAGACAACTTAGACATCTACTAAGTTGAAAGTGAACACAAGCCTAATTCCCGCCCCTCTGATGTTGAATCATCAGGAAAACAAGACTGCTGGCTTAGAGCTTGCTTGGAGTACAATGCAAGCTCCAGTTCAAAGAATTCTTGGCTAAGAACTTCATTGAGCTCCTGAAGTAATGCATCTACACGTAACATACCGATGCTGGGAAGTTCTGAAAGGCCGTCGATGTTAGAGAAAACTAACTACATGGCACACATTGTTCTCCACTTTCCACTCCTAATAATTCATGCACATAAAGACGGACAGCATATGTTAGGTGCCAGATAGTACAGCTATTTCTGGTAAAAAAAAATTCTAGAGAAGTCAGATTCAAGAGCCAAGTCCCTAGGAGGAGGTGTAAGTTTTCTCATAACCCCAACGGCACCACAGAAGTCATATTGAAAGGGGACAGGCCCACAGCATTTGTCTTTCTGATTGCCAGAAAGTCAATTTGAAAACCATAAGGGAAGTCTTTACATCCAATGTGTGTGACTGTATTAATATATTGCCTGCCTTGGACTTAAAGGTCAGCGACCACATATCCACTCATGATATCATCCATGAAGGCTATTTCTCTACCATTCACAGTGTTTGCCATCATTCACGGAATTCCGGGCTTTGGATTAAAGTACCTATAATCATGGGACAAGCTTTCATCATCACTTATTTTCAGCCCTTTGTACGGGACTAACTAGCATGTGGGTTGAAAGAAACAGATTTCTGAGAAATCTCTAGCCAACACAGGGCAAAACACTAGTATTAGGAGTTTTTGAGACCACCAACCAGATATCTGCCATAGTATCTATGGATCTTGACAATACAGCAAAAGCGTTGGCAGCAGTTGCATGTAAACACTTACTTAGGATATTTTTATCACCTTGACGGTCACCATGACAATCATTTAAAACAAGTGTTTAGGTGCATGAAAAGACTGAGACCCTAATACTGTACCATAGTGATCTAGCAAAGTCCAACCTTTCTCATTAGAGGATTTTAGCAAGTAGCAATATCTCCCAGGAGGCCACAGGGTGACTTGTGCTTAAACATGAGCCCTTCTGCAGCGGGCAGGGGTTTCAGGCTGTTGGCTGACACTTCAGCAGCTCTTACGACTTTTTTTTTTCTGGTTCTAGTACTTTCCTTGAGAAAATCTGGGGGAGTAAAAGAGAGGGTGATTCTGGGAATTCTCCCTATTTGTATATTAATTAACTAGTTTGTATTCCCCACCCTGGATCCCACTTAACAAAACATCAAGTGGGCATGCATTGCAGTCACGGCAGACGTCTCCTTGCTCTGAGTAAAGAGTGGAGACCGTATCCCATGGATAGAGAGTGCTGGTGTCTTGGCGGTACTTCTGGATCCCAGTGTGAAATGGGACAGTGTGCAGGGAAACTCAGGCCAGGAGGAGCTTCAAGTCCTTACTGTCCGCATGACAGCCAAGTGTCTCCAGGGTTGTCACTTGCCTTGTGCCCAAACACACACCTTTAAAGAGAGGGCTTGGAAAGACAGTGACTCTGGCTCTGGAGTCTAACTTCCACTCTGGATTCAAGTACAGGCAGAAGAGTGAGTTGGAATCTTATTTTGAAGACACCAGATATAGTTCCTGCCTAGAGGGGCACCCCACTTCTGGTAAATTTCATTATCTTTGGCTACATACATTGGGAACTATTTTTCTGTTTGCAGTAGGTGTGTAAGATTTCTCCTCACCAATCCATAACGCATGCAATGTCATATTTTGGATCACCAACATCTTACACATAAGGAAACCGAGGCACAGTACTGAACAAGAGTAGACCAAGTCCCCCTGGGAGCTTTTTAAATAATTTGCCAGCCTTCCTTCAGTGAAATGATTTTTTAAAATCTTGGCTTTGGATATTGATTGAGTATCTTGTTCCTGTCCTCTATTTTTGCCCAGTAGACAGCGTCATTGGAATGCAGTATGTTTTGGTTAGGAAAACTATTTCCTTGCTTTAGAAAACATTTGATTAACTGGAGCATTTTACACAAAGGGGAAGTGAGCCTAGAAATAACTTAAATTATGCTCTCAGTTTATCCAAATCAAAACCCAAACCAGCCAACCAAATGAATAGCACAGCTCATCAATAAGTCTCCCTGTACTTGTTCGATCATGATTAGAAGTAAGAAGAGCAGATAAATGTGTATCTAGAAGAGACTAACAGTGCAGTTTATATAGTGTCAAGTCATGCAAACCATGCTGAAAAGGAAGCGACGTTGTTGCAGTGACATAGGGAAGAAGAAGGCCGTGAGGAGCCCCTGCTTGTAGCGGGGGCCACCACGCACATGCATGCGCCTGACACAGCCACTTACACCATTGTAAGTGCCGGGTGTGAGAGTAAGTGAGCTGTACACAGTCTGTCTGCAGTACCAGGAGTCAGCCAGTGACCCCTTCTAAGTGGGCTTGTTGGAAGGGGTCCATATGGAATCTGAGATGCCATCCCCGGTGGATGACATAGGCATGGAACCACTAGGCGTGAAGGGGTCTGTGTCTGTGTCCGTCTCCCCCTCGGCCAGGTACCTCTTCTCCCTCATCCAGCTCGATCCCCCACTGGGGCCAAACATATAATCATCTCTGTCCTGGGAGATGCTGAAGCCACTTGGAGACCGCTCCAGCTCCTCGTGGTTGACAGACATGAGGGACAGAGGCGTGTCACTGTCCCTAGTAATGCTGCGTCTCTGGTAGGGTGACATGCGGTCCGAGTAGGGGCCTTGCAGTTCTGTCTGGGAGTGGTAGCTCACACAGGAGTCCAGAAGAGTCAAGATGGGCAGGACCGTGGGCCTCTCTGCATATGTGCTTCCCGAGGAGGGAAGGGTGGCCTGAGCCTTTGTAGAACTGGGTCCCCCTCGGGTCAGGTTCACAGGGTCATGTGAGAAAAACCCATAGGGGCCGACTCTTTCGATGGGCACCTGGTGGAAGTTGTAGGGTGGGTCTGGGGGCCCTGTCTCTGAGTAGTTGCAGATGATGGTTTTCAAATCAGAGTACCTGGTGTCCTCTCTCTTCTCCCCTTCGGCGGGGGAGGAGGCCTCCTTGGCGGGGTAGCACTCTGTGACGTGCACCTGTAGGCGTTCCATGTGTTGCGTGTGCATGTCCACCAGGAAGTCCAGTTTCTTCCCCATGTCATGGACCTGGAAAACACAAGCATCTGGGATCACCACTCCCGGGGGATGAGGGTCACTCACTGTGCCATTGCCTCTCGGGAGGGATGCTGTGTAAGTCTTAGTGATCACGGCAGCTCTGACTGACTCCGGGCCTTCTGCCAGAAGGTCCCATGTACATACTAACATTCATCCAGAAAGGCACAGGCAAGGGTGTGACCTGGAGTCAAAGACCAGAAGCCCACAGGCAGATTGAGAATAAGTGTGACAGGCTTTCATTGTCCCCTCTGGAAGAGGTGATACTACTATTTCAGTCAAGGACTGAGGTCCCTGTGTTTTTGTCTTTTTGAGAGATCCCTTGTACGCAAGCATACAGGTTTTCAGTGTCTGTTATCAATACCTGATAACATATGCTCTGGAGAGCACTATCAGTATCCATGATAACATATGCTCTGGAGGGCACTGTCAGTATCAATGGAGTTCTACAGACCTAGAGACCCAATGGGGCCCAGAGGCAGTGATGGAGTCTGCTTTGGTTATGGCATCCCTAAGTTTGAGTGTTTGTGAGCACAAATGTACAGGCATGTGTGTGCACATCTATATGTGATGGAGATGTTTCATCCCCGACAATGAACATTCGTGTATAAACACAAGTCTGTGCATCTTCATGTGTGATATTTGCCCCCAAATAGCTCACAGTTCACCAAATCAGGCAAGTGAATGACTTCACTGGATGGATGAGGTTTTGAGACTCAGGGTAGGTCACAGCTAAGGTACATCTGAGTCATAGTTGTAAGGGATACGTAGGCAGTAGCTATGTGACTCTTGTAAGGGTGTCACTAGTAAGCCACAACCACCTGGAGGTACACAGATTAATAGAAATGGGTTAATATTTTAAGAGAGAGCAAGCTAGTAGTAAGCCTAAGCCATTGGCCAAACAATCATAAATATATATTAAGTCTTTGAGTGGTTATCTTATAAGCAGCTGTGGGGACCCAGTGGGCAGAGAGAAACTGGTCCAAGGGGGAATGGACTAAACGGAGAATAGTCTCCTAGACACCTAATGCCCCAAACTTTATTTCATGTACTTTACTGACTTAATTAACTTTACAACCTTACACTGTGAATACTGTTGTGATGTCTGTTCCACATGTGATGAAGCAGTGACCAGAGAGATGACAACTTGTGAAAGGTTGCAGAGCTAGTAAATATGAGAACTAGGATTGTAAATTAAAATTCAAAAGTAAGAAGCAAGAGACCAATCATTGAGTTTTTTTCCATCTCCCCTACATGGATCTAGTTTTAGGGTGATGGATAAAAGGATTGATGATAGTCCTGGAGGTGACTGACAGAGTCACTTATTTAGTGGGCTACAGAGATGAGCTACATGGAGTCTATTGAGTTGGCCTCTCTTTGTAACCTGGATGGCCCTTCCCCGTAACCTGGCCCCCTGCCAGGCCTCCTAGGGAAGGTCACCCACAGGCTGGGACTAGAGCAAAGAGCAACAGAAAGGGACAGGAGACTAGGGACAAAGGGCTGGCCTCTTCTGGCGCCTGCTGAGAAACTACCATGAAGCAGTGGACAGCAGTGACTGCCTGTTGACTATTCACCGCGCACCAACATCCTGAGACATTCTCATGCATCGGCTCAGTTAATCCTCATAGCAATTTTACGATGTATTTAATTCCCTGGGTGGCAGACAAGCAAATCTGAGGTTCAAAACAATAATTAACTTGCAGGTGATCACTCGGTCAGTATAAGCAAAAACTAGGGATAGGGAATTAATTCCCACATCTGTGTGTGTGTGTGTGTGTGTGTGTGTGTGTGTGTGTGTGTATGTGTGTGTGTGTGTTGGTAGGTGATATTTCTTATGCCTTATTTCCATATGAAAGAAAATGGGATCTGAAAATAAGTTCTATGGGGCTGGAAGGATGGCTCAGTAATTAAGAGCAAGCGTTGTTCTTGCAGATGGCCTGAGTTCAGGTCCTAGAACACACACGGGAGGCTCAGAACCATCTATAACTCCAGTTCCGGGGACCTCTGCAGGAATCGACCATGCATGTGACATGTATACACAAATGCAGGCAAAACACTCATACCCATAAAATAATAAATAAATGCATAAATAAATAAAACAAAACACTCATACCCATAAGATAATAAATAAATGCATAAATAAATAAAACAAAACACTCATACCCATAAAATAATAAATAAATGAATAAATAAAAATAAATGAAACAAAGCAAACTTACACACTTTTTGGTAAGGCTTACCTGTCTTTCAACTTTAACAAACTTCCCCATCATGCTTTGATCTTCGGTTTCTGAGGTGGCTGCCCTGGCTACATATGGTTCATTCCTAAGGGAAAAAAAGTAATTCCATAAGATCCATCATTGTATCTGTTTTCACTGTGCGGGGTCATTTTAAGTTGGAAGGAGACTGTTTTTTCCTCACGCATACTGATGAAGCCTGGGGGAGGTTATTTTGACACTCTCAGTCAGGGCTGTTGACTGCCTGCTCACCTCTGTAGGAAGACAAGCAGACAGGAAGCTGGGCTGAGGGAGGCTTTGTTATGCTGAAGTTTATCAAGTATTTAACAATGCCTAGAGTGTTTATTCCTCTAAATGAAAGCCTTTTAACTTTCACTCTCAGAGCTTTTACCCTGTGGGGGTGGACGAGGAACTGTCTCATCTCTGAAGTTCTATAGAGTAGGCATACACATTTCATCTGGCCCATTTTGTTAAGAATGGCAAACACCTGCTGAATCTGTAAAACAATGCTAGAATGATGTCGGCAGGTACCGGGGGAAGGCTGTACAATTATTAGCTGCCTAAATTCTAGCTCTTTCCAGTATGTTTACGCTACGTGGAGATGAGATGTCTCAGAGAAACTTGCTGGTGCTGGAATCCATTCACGTTTGACTTTGTCTTGACAGCTGATTTTTTTCCCTCTCCCATGCCGTTGCCTCTGCTAAACTACTTCTGTGAACAGTGTCTTCAAGTGAAGTAAATCTCAGTGTTTCATTTGTCCTGCATAGGTGTGTTCCATTTGATATTTAATTAAAATTCATCAGTGAACACGGGGGACTTAGAGTCTTTAGTGTCCCTTTTTTGCCCATAAGATACGCTCTGTAATTTCTCATTGTTATCCTGTCATACCCGGACACCTTCTCTTACTAGTTTTGTGACTTCAGGAGTTAGTATCTCTTAGTGTCACTGTATGATACCGGTGTGATAAAGTATCTTCCTTGGAGGTCTGCTAGTGTGTTAGATGTGAGAATTCATAGGAAACGATTCACATATGCTGTTTTTTAATATGTTAGTTTGTTTATTTGGGGATAGGGTCTCCTCTATACCTCAGGGTGCTCTCAAGCACTGGGATTACAGATGTGTACCACCACACTGGACTCTTGAAGAAGCCTTCAAACATCCCCGAACACCATCTCAAAAGCAAGGAAATTGTTAGCCGGATGTAGTTTTGCATGCCTGCAATCCCAGAGAGGGAGGGCCGGCATGGGTTTTAGGGCATCCTGAGGCCAGCCCAGGCTATGTAGTGAGACATTGTCTCAAAAGCAAACATCAAATCAATACAAAGCCTCCAAATTAATTAACTAATGATTTAAAATAAGGATTTATAAAGTGGAGTTATCTAGAAGGTATCTACTTTAAAACAGGTTATATGAAAACAGGGCTCTTGGTTAACACTGGCTAAAACAGAACACAGTAACAGTTACTCCCACTAGAGGGTCAGCAGCCTCGGGTACCACTGTCCCCTATCTCATTCCCAGCCTGAGGCTGAAGAGTAGATGGCTTCCTTTACCACACCAAAGCTCTTCCTCCTGAGAAGAAAGTGCACAAACAGTCCCCCACTCAGTGTCTTTCTTGCCTTAAAGATGCTTTGGAACAAAGAGGTACAAACGCAAACAGTGGACTAAAAGTGACATTGCTTGTTCAGAAATTTAAAATAATTTTTGGAGTGAGAATTTTTAGAGGTCCTGGCACCTAATGCCTTCTCTCATTTTGTCTTGGGAGGGATATCAGTTGATCCTCAGGGCACTGTGCAGGAGAAAGCAAATGAGCTGACCGAGAATGCATACCCTCCACTAATATCAGATATGCTCTCCGTTTCAACGAGACCCGTGGATTTCTCCTTGTTTTATAGCCAGAAAACTGGTTATTTTCTATTCTACAAAGCATAAAAACAAGCATCATTTACGTGTTCTTGAAATTGGGGCAGGAAGTCATCTGGACAGAGGGTTTTTCAAAGGCCCAAGACCCTTCATGCGGGGGAGGGTAACCTCACTCACATCAAGGACCCAGGCTGGGCCTGGGGGAATAGATACACACTGAACACGCCTTGAGCTCAACAGTCATCAGCCACGACCACATGCCCCACCTTGGAGACTGCTGGGATGGGTAGGTGAATGCAGACCCTTTCTGAGACTTCTTATGTTTTGGAGTGGATGGAGGACCAGGGGTGAAAATCATATCTATTCTGAAAGAAGAAAAAATTAACAAGGAGAAATTAGACGACACATACCTTTGTTGCTATGAGAGCATAAATTCTTGCATTTCCTAATTCAGATGTGGGTTTTGAATACATAAGGAGAGGGAAGAAAGTCAGCCAGGATGTCTGTGTTCTTCAGTTTGGGGGCACAACAGCAGTTTTTCATCCCCAGGGTTCCAGAGGGAGACAATCTACAGAGTTGGGGTGAGGGCTATTGTCTTACTCCTTAACGCAAACGCCACATGCATGTTGCAAGCCTACCTAATCTTTTACCTCTTTTATCCACCCCCCTAAACAACCTAATGAGAGAACTTTCACTGTCAGACTCAAAGTTCCATTCTCAGCTGCATAGACCTTCGGTGCTATCCTGGGGAGGATGGTTTCACCCTGGCTGACACCCTGCTTCTGTTTCTGTACAGAGCACCAGCTCAGCAGAAAGATGCTTTCCATCATGCTGTGGGGCAGGGACAGAAGAGGCCTGTCAGGATGACTACTAAGATGAATTCAGGAACAGTCTTGGGTCACATTTTCCTCTGGCAACTCGTCTTCATTTCCAACAGACACTGGAGGCATCATCTGAAGTCAGTCCTCCTTTCTGCCTGGTCCGCTGATGTATACACATGGCCAGGGATTACACAATTCATCATCTTGGCAGGCAACCTGCAGCCATAATCTCCAGAAACACACTTTCTTGATAACTATCAAAAATCATGACAGTGTGTAACTGTCATGTTCTGTAAACACTGAAACTGCCTGCTATTTTTGGAGTCTTGCCCGCTGTTGGCAGAATGAGGTCTTCTTCTGTCTCTCAGACAGCCATGCTTGCATAGTTAGTAGCATACAGGACTGAAAATTTGTTTATACACCATAAATTGGGTCAGCAGGCATAGAACCCTGATTTGCTATCTACTACAATGCAAGGAACAAAGGGAAGTCGTGACTAGGACTGTTACCATCAATTTCACTGGTGCAGTGCTCCAACTAAGTCAGGACATCCAGTGGGGGAGTGTTAAATTAGATGAGGAGGAAGAAGACCATGTCAGTTTGAATGGAGTCAGTTCCTTTCCTGGTCCCTCATATGAGGGAATTGCATCATGTGTGCCATGTGTATTTCTGAGCAGACACGTGTTAATAGCATACACACTCTAATGCAGCACATTGGATCATATCATGACTGCATCCAGACAGGGTTTGTCTTCTTGTTTTGTGATGATATCATCTGTGACATACATATATTTATGTTGTGTGTTCAATTTCTTGACCGGTCAACTTCTGCCCTCACAACGTTGGTTTCCTGATCATCATTAAGGCACTTGTGATGTGGTGAGTACCTTATAGATCCTGATGAACAAAATACATATATGTAAAGTACCCAAGAGCTCAATCAAAACGTGGTATTATTTAAAACTGATCCAGACTCCATGAATGTAGTGTCAGTGAGGAGGCCAAAGAAATCACTGGGGCCTTGGGTAGTAGATCAGTGTTCATCATGGTTTATGAATGAGCTTTGGGAGCCCATTCCACATGGAGGGATTCTCTCTCAGCCTGGACACATGGGGAAGGGCCTAGGTCTTGCCCTGGATGAAATGACAGACTTTGGAGATCCCCCCCATGAAGGGCCTCACCCTCCCTGGGGAATGATGTAGGGATTGGGTGGGGGTTCGGGGGGGCTGGTGGAAGGACAAGGGAGGAGGGGTGGGAGAGGGAGCTGGGATTGACATGTGAAGCATTCATGTTTCTAATTTAAATAAAAACATATATTGAGGAAAAATCTCCCTAAATGGTTTCAATTTTCCTATATTTTCACTACTATGTATAACACTCAGAATTTTAACACTGTGGTTGGAATTTTACTCTTAGAATAAACCAGCTGCACAGTCTAGATGACCCACGTTTTATAGTTCTCCAAAGCACCCTAGTCAGGAACAGTTGGACACATACACTCCTCCTTTTCTCCATCAATGCCATCATGGAGCTGATGCTGGCTATGACGATGTCTCAGGGCTTCTCTGCAGGTTTGGACTAAACAGAACACAGTAACAACCATCTCCCTTAGAAGGGACAGAAGGCTCTGGTCACCATGGTCCCAGGTCTCTCTCTCCATGCCACGCCAAGCCTGAGAGTAAAACTTGTTGGCCCATACACCCACACTGCTTGATGGGCACTTCTGTTCCCGAAGTTTCTCTGCTGTGCTTGGGATGACTTCTGAATGCCCGTCTCTTAAAACTCTATGGTCATCTTACTTGGATTCCGAAGTAGCCGAGAGAGCACAGGCGCTTGCAGCTGAGCGTCTTACGTCTTACCTTGTCTGAAGGTACTTTATCCTGGAAAGCATGTCAAGGTGTCCCGCGGAGTACTGTTCAATCACATCCTTCACGTCATAAGGCCTCAGGGTCTCCTTGAACTTTTTCTTGTACAGGCGGAACTGGAGAATTCTGCCAGGCAAAGGAGATGCGTTGGCTCACCATGGGCAGACAGTGAAGGAAACATAATTGTAGGAAGAGACATTAGGACTGCGTTGATAGCCACACCCACTCTGGGCGTGACTAGAGAGCCACGCCCACTTTGGGGGTGACTAGAGGCGCATACAGATGTGGTAATGAAAGGCGGTGAACTGCGCCTCTAACCACGCCCACTTTCTGACACCAATCTGCAACACTAAACGACACACTTGATGAGGGTATAGGTAACTATTTATTGTGGTAATTACTTACAAGAGAAGACTGGCAACCAAGGTGAGTCAGCAGCTTTCGCTACAGACTGGAAGCCCGAAAGAGAGCGAGCCTCTCTCCTGCACCGCCTTTTATTACCACGCCCAAAGTGGGCATGGCTAGCTGCGCAGTCCTAATGTCTCTTCCTACACATAATGCATGTCTGGCAAACACCAGAGGCGGGGGGGAGAGAGGAAGAAGGGAAAGATCTTGGATGGCAGAGTGCTGGCCTCGGGTTCTGGTTCTGTCCCTTCAGGTCTATTAGGCTGGCTAGTGCCACTCCTTCAACCACTGGAATAATTAAACTGAAGGAATAACCACTTCCGAACAGCTGTTGAACACTCATCAAGTAAGAGACACTAAGGATGGTGCTCTGTGACTTTGCAGAGGAGCAGCCATGGCTCTGAGAAGGCCGTATCTCAGAGGTCAGGACGTCCGAGCTGGACCAGGCTTGGGTGCCAACAAGTCTCTTGGTTGCTGTCACTGCCACACTGCTTTTTGTTTGAGGATGGTCAGTCCTCGTCCTCCTCTATAACTGCTCATTAAATTTCCCAACTTAGCTGTGTCAGAACACCCGTCAGAGATAGTTTTATGTGAATGTTTGGTGGGGAAGGTGTGGAGGTGGACACAGATTTAATTGGTGCCACCAGAGTCCAAGCTGCCTGGGTCACATCACAGACCAGGAAACAGAGAGCTCAAGATAGAGAAGGGACACATCTATAAATCTTCCAATGTCACCACCATACTATAGTTTAACTTTTGCCTAGCTAGGTCTGTGCCAACTTTCCAAAATAGTACCACTTGCTAGGGACCACGTTTGAAATGCCTGGACATTCTGCATTCAAATAATAATAACAGCTAAGCATGGTGTTATGTATCTGTAATCTCAGCACTTGCAGAGACAGAGGATCAGGAGTTCAAGGTCATCCTAAACTATATAGTGAGCCTGAGGTTAAACCAGGGCTACACGAGACTCACTCTCAAAGTTCCAAAACAAACCAATGAGCAAACCAAATCAAGCCAGACAGTAATTCTAATTCTTTTGCTTTGGGCTCCTTAGAAAGGTGCTAACCCGTGAGTTTGTACAGGTTCATTATAACACGAGGACACCATCACCTCCCTCTTCCTGAAAATCAATCACGCCACTGTCCTCTGAGGACTCCACCCATCTGTCCATAGTGCCAATCCAAGCTTACGGTCAGTCATCATCTTGCCCGGAGGCCCTGCCCATTCCAGGTCCTTCCAGTTCCCATCTGCATATGTCTACTGAGTGACACAGTTCGAGCACATTTTGACTTAAACTGTGGCAGCAGCTTCTAAAGACAGTTCTGGCATATTGATCAGTTTACTCATCATGATGCAGGATTTATACCCATCCTTTACCTAGAGTCACCTGAAGCGGAGCCGCTCAGTGGTCACACCTGCCTGTTGCCTGTGTTAGAACAGAATGTTTTAAGGAAAACTAGCCCACGCTCCATCACTTACGCAGCGTGTGGCTTTGTATGGTTAAGACGGCAACGCTGAATCTTGAGGCGAAGTCCTGGGGACCACAAAAACCTAAGATATTGGCACTTCATAGGAAAGGAGCTGGTGGTAACCATTTCTTGAATTAAGGCATCTGAAAACGACCCAAATGGGTGTGCGGAGACAGGAACTTGGGATATCTCAGTAGAGTCCTCTTGGGAACAGTCTGACCAACTGGGTTTTTCTTTGAAGGAGTTTGATCAGTCAGCGACAAATGCAACAGATATGTTCTGTCATATCATATATAATGGTGAGGAGCCACACTGAGCCCTTGTGGGAGCCTGCATCTTACAAAACTATCACGGTCTGCTGGGTTGGAAATCTTGCTGGAAATAATGTAACAAACTTCTGCCACCCATGAAAGGGAAATACACCCACATCCTGCTATGTTTTCTTTGAGGAGTAGCATACTCTCTTGACTTTCTTGAAGAACTCTGAAGCAAACTCAAGCATATTATGATCTCTGAATCACACAAAATATCTATAATTTGTGATTTTGCTGAAAATGCTGGTTACAAAGAACACATGGATGGATACAGGCAAAAGAAAAGCTGAGCACCTCAGGTGAGCATTGAGGAAAAATTCCATGTTATTACATCTTCCACCCTGGCACCCATCAGAGTAAATGCTGGTTAAATCTCCTGGATGGATGTGCTGTCTTCAGGTAAAGCAACAGTTTGCAAACAGACATCCCTGTGACAAGTGTCTATGGCGGAATCCTTGCACACAAGGGAGTGTCCTCCATAGAATGTGACAAAGCCACAGGACCCAGCTCCAGGTGACCGAAAGAGGTTTCTGTCTCCTTCCCGGAGTACAAGGACACTTTATCAGCTGTGTCCTATGGGCATGAAGTTGGCATCTAGGAATGTATGGAGGTGGGGGAGAGGTGTCATTACCTGACAGCTCGAATGGCAGCCTTTAGGGTGGGGATCATGTCTTCAATGAGGAAGTCATTCCCATAACCCCTGTCTTCTGTCATGGGATCACCTGTCCCAGCATCTGTGAGGGAGACATACGTATTAATTTAGCCCATCGTGAATGGAAACCATCAGAGACCACTATGGAGCCAGAATCTCCAGTGTGTGTATTGGTCAGCCCTCATCTTTATCCCCACATGTTGATGGACCCCAGTTGTGACACCATTTGTGTTTCCTTACATTCCCTCTGTGTGGTACCAAAGTTTGAGACCCAGGTATGAGCAGGTCGGAACTGGAGTGGCGGACAATTCTAGCAGGAGAGGCTGGTGAGCTCTGCCGCTGTGGGTGATCACAGGAACAGAAGGGAACAGAGGTGTGGTCCTCACACTCAGACACACCTAAGTTGGAATTCTTGCCCCGTCGTTTCACTGCCTGTGACCATGGAGGTCGCCTTCTGTACTTTTTACATCTTGGAGGGTTTAGGGAGGAAGGAACAGTATGACTAGTGTCAAAGCCTTGGTGGCTTCAGACACGAAGGACAGTACTTTCCTCTTTGTCTTCCCTTCTGCTAAGTGACAGAGGTGCTTGAGGCCACCGTTCCTATGGTACTTAATGCACAGGGTGTTTTTCTGACCTCTCTTCTCCATCCCTGGGGCTGCATCCCTCCAGATGGCTCCTTCCCTCTACCCGCCTCTCCACATCCTAGTTACTCTCATCTTGGCTTCTCTTTCCAGTCACAGGGCAGGTCCTAAGGCTCCTTGAGCTGAAAGGGTTGAGCTAGGTGACTCAAGTCTATTTCACTGGGAACCGTCCTCATTTCTGAGTCACGGATGCATCCAGCCCACCAGACACAAGTGAGGCATGAAGTTGGCTGTAGGCGGGATAAAAGAGAGATGGCTTTGTGGATGCTTGGGATCTTCACTGGAGAGGTGGAAAGGTGAGGAGGGAGGAGGGAGGAGGGAGGAGGGAGGAGGGAGGGCAGGGGGAGGAAGCGGGAAGAAGCCAGGCGAGAAATAGGGCGTTACCTTCAGAACTCTGCCAGAAAGCGTAGGCTTTCATGCGGAAGGCGGTGCGGAAACGCTCTTTATTGTTTAAGCCCACGGGCTTTGGTTCTTTAGAAGGGTTTTCTTCTATGGCATCTACATTCAGAGGGGTAAATGACTTTCCTTTAGTATTGCTACCACGAGGATTAGAAAGGCGAACCCGATCCAAGAGACCCAGCTTTTGGCTACAAAATAAGCAAAAGTGAACAATTTTCCTCCTTCAGTGCAGGTTCTTGTAACTTCCCACCCCTCCAGAAATACTCGCATTCTCTCCCGAGGATGCACGGGAACTGTGCGCCCCCGGGGAGCTAACCTGATGGAGCAGACAGGATAGGGGGCTAAGGGTAGCTCGAATCCTAGTTCTAGCTCACAGTTTTACTACTGATTACATCCTGAGCAGATTTCCAAACGTCCCCTGAATTTCCACCTGTGCTTCCACGGAACCCAAACCAGAGGCAAGATATACAGTACTATCCTTTACCCAAGTAGTTTCAAGGACCTGCAGTCAACCACTCTAAAAATAACACTGTAGTTGTCGGGGGTGGGGAGGGGGCAGGGGGAGTAAAGTTAGAGTAAGGGGGTAGGTTCACTTCCTGAGAGTAGGTTTTCCTAATTGTTTACTAGTTATCGTTGTTAGTCTTTACAATACCTAATTGATTTGAACTCCATCTTAGTATGTGTGTATAGGAAAAAAAGACTACATCTATAGGGTTCAATATTATCTGCGGTTTCCATGGACAAGATTGAGTTATCAGTGTATAGTCATTGTGAGGACTTAAGTAGTATGCTGGCCTGCCCCTGTCACCTGGCAGAGTGCACGCAGGCAGTGCTCTGGTCAGCCCAGGGTTCCATGAGAACCAGTCTGCACGCAGGTGCAAAGGACCCCTCTAAAAGACAGACCCCCGCCCACTTACGATCTTTTCTCGCTAGCTCTATTTCTGCTCTCTTTCCCGTTGTCCCCCTGGGCAGACAGACGCTTTCTGACTCCCTCTTCTCTTCTGTCCCCTCTCTGTTTCTGTCTCTTTGTGTCTCTGTTCTCTTTCCTTACCCTCTTCCCTTTCTAATAACACTTCTTACTTAGCCTGGCATGTTTGTCCTCCTGTCACCGTCGTCTACCATGGAATCCGCCAAGGTTCCCCTCCCGCTTTATCGTAACAGTCACACAACACAATTTCTTCATTCTTCACGCTCTTCACTCTATCAGCAACTTCCCCTTTCTCGTTACCATTTCACGATATCCGAATAGTGATGGGCACAGGCAGATCCTCATCACCCACCAACCAGACATAATGACGAGAATGACATAAATTACAGAAAGCAGGGACCTTTGACCTACTGTCCTCAAACACATTCCTCTGATAGAACCTAGTGGGTTCGTGAGTTTTGGTGGGAAAAGTACGCCTTTAAGTTACTAACTTCCAATCAAAACTTAGTATCCCTGTCTACTATTAATGTAGGTCACAAACTCATCCCTGATCCAATATTGTGAGAGCCTTCAACCTGGTGCCAGATATGTACGCCATAAGGCTCACTACATTAAAGCGCTTGTTTGACTCCATTTCAACACTGAATTTCGGAAGCATTTTTCAATACATGCATTACATGAAACATTTTACATTTACTTATGCTGTGTGTGCGTGGGCAAGTATGTGTGCCACTGGTACTGGTCAGAGGATAACTTGAAGGAACTAGCTCTCTTCTTCTACCATGTAGGTCCTGGAGATCAAACACAAGCCATTAAGTTGACGGCAAGCGCCCTTGCCTGCTCAGCCATCTTTCCATAGGTAGGTGGCATATATGTTCTGTTCTATATTCCATTCCCAAGATGCACAACAAACTTCCCTATCTTGCCAGTGCCCTTTCTTGCCATCTCAGCCAACCTCATTATTATCTGCCCTTTGAAACTATGAAACTATGGCTGGACATGCGCTCTTGGAAATTCAGTACTCTAGTTCTCCAAAGACATGTGTTTCCCTCTGTTTGATATTTGACACATTTTATGAAGATGGTGCATTTCCATATCAGTTTTGCCACAGAGTTACAGAGTAGGGGCACAGAGAAGGAACAGCCCCTATTTGGCACTTCTTCTTTTTTTTCTTTTTTTTTGGTTTTTCGAGACAGGGTTTCTCTGTGGCTTTGGAGGCTGTCCTGGAACTAGCTCTTGTAGACCAGGCTGGCCTCGAACTCACAGAGATCTGCCTGTCTCTGCCTCCCAAGTGCTGGGATTAAAGGCGTGCGCCACCAACGCCCGGCTTATTTGGCACTTCTTGATAGCGAGCATACCTAAAGTATGAACGTTAGGATAAATCTAGGCTGGGTGGAGACATCTTGATAACCCATCGGACTGACCTAGGACACATAACCTCATTTTCCTGGTTGCCAGATTCCTTACGTGCAAGATGGAGACCTTATACCTGCATTCATAGGGCTTATTATAAGTTAAGTATGACAGTGCATGGGAAGTGCTTATCCCCATCAATGATACAGGAAGCCTCTGCTAAGCGCTGGCTGTCATCACTGCCCTAGGAAATTATCCTCTTTCCATAGAAGCCACAGAAGACTGATGACACAAGCAGAACGGATCAATGTAATTCCCTGGGGGCATAAAAGCAGGGGTTTGTGTTTTAGTTTAAAAAATATACAAGGTGAGATGAGCTTAGGAGATTTTATATAGCACTTTCTATTTACTTAATGCTTGTCTTACTCTGACTTGGTAAAAGCTAACATGTGAAGATCTTAATTACAGATAAACTAGTTAAGGACACAGTTGACGACAGCCACTTGGTCCTGACTGGGGATTTCAGCGTGGTCTCTGAACACCAGAGGATAATGAAGAGACCATGCTACTCTATCTGTTTTGAGATTCAGGGTCCATTTTCCTGGAATTCAGATGCTACTCTTAGGAGTCAGAATTGCTTTGGCCATGTTCACTTAACAGCTCACTGGGATCCAGATACATTGGCACAGATGCTCTTCACCCCCTCCCGAGCTGCGTCTAAGCAGCTTACAGAATTCTTCTCCCAGCAAAGCGGATGCTCAGCTTACTTCTTAATTGGGTCGCCTGAAATCCAAGACCCCAAAGGATAATGAAATGCAAGGCAAAGTCGCATTTCAAAGTTGCAACTCAACACCCCTCTCTGCCTTTCTCCATATGGACTCCCGGTGCATACATAATACAGGCCCTGTTCTAAGAGGATACTGGAGAAGCTGCTGACAGCAGGAGTCCCCGATTTATCAGGTGCAGACCAGTAATGTCCACACCTGGATTTCAAAAACTGAAAATAGATTAACTAGGGATGGGAAAATAAAATAGATATTGTTGTCTCTTGGCGCTTACGAGTACTGGGTTCCTATGTCTGATCGTAGCATCCAGGCAACTCCGGTCACGTTCAATGCTACAGTTATTTGACATTCAGGTCTTTGATGTGCTCTGATGTCGACCTGGAGAACCTCAATATCTCCTTACTTCTGAACTACCATTACTCTTCCCTGAAACTATGCCTGGTGCCTGAGCAGTAGCCTCCAGGATAACTTTGCAACACCTCCAGATGTGCAAAGTAACATCTACCATTCAACATTCCCCTAGCATGCTCCAAGATGTTTTCATTCGTGGTGCTTGGCCACCATCATTCAAAATTTGACTCATTGATGACTCCACTGCTCAACAAGATGTTCTTGTAGGTCATTGTTGGCATCTAGAGACAGTTTGGTTAAACTACAACAACTTGTGAAACTACTGGACTCTTATGGATAGAGGTAAGGGGCTGAGTCCGAGAAAAAGGACCAAATCCACAACAAAGAATTATCTGTTCTACTGATGGTACTGAAGTTGATAAACCAGGAGGCAAGCTTTTGGGCTGAGATGCCCTTGTTCATTTGCAAACACAACATCTGCAGGTCCTGACACATCATCAATGCTAAAAGCATTTTTACGCCATTAAAGGAAGGAACGGATAAGGGCTTGATTTTCTTGCTAATGTCATACACACAGTTTCAGTAGAATGAGGGTATCTATGTTTTGGAAGGAGGGCAGACTTTGGAATGAGAGAAAACAGTTCAAATCTGTTCATCAGTTACTAGTTCAACTTGGGTAAGCCATTAGCTCAGTGAACCGTGGTCATCTGTAAAATGAAGCTAATGTGATTTTTTTTCTAATTCAGGAAACTGTGTTCAACACCTGTGTTTTCTAGGCAACTGATAACTTGCTGGTGACTAAGCCGAAAGCAGGTGTGCCATAAATTTCCTGTATTATTGGAATGAATTGGAGAAAACCAAGGGCAAAACTGAGAGGGCAATAAGAAAGACACCAAAACCTTCCAGGCAGGAGATGATGGTTGTGTGGACAGGGTGGCCACAGCGGGAAGGAGACAGAGCTCGGACTCCATGTGGAGAAAAATTAGCAACAGTCTTTCCTGGTGGATTCTGGACAGGTGTAAGGGGAACCATTCCTGGTACCTGGGTGTACATGTGGGAGAATGGCGACACTCATTCTAAAGCTGGGCATGACTTGGCTGTTGAGAAAAAACACAAAACAGTTTCACGTGTGCTCTAGCTTTAGGAAGAGTGACAGGCATCTTCACAAGGAGGCAGGTCGGGATTGTGTCTATCTGGTTTGTTGTTATATCCTCAGATGCAAAAATGGTTGCTGGTACACAGGACAATCTTTTTATTCACCAAATAAGTGGATAAATGGGCTGACAATGGGTAGATGGGTATGGTGTCAGCCAAAGGGAGAGTTTTAAAGAAGCAACCATCATGTGTGGCATATATGCAAAAATACATTTGTGTGTTGTATGTATATACATGCAAGTATGTAAGTGTGTGTATGGAAGCCAGAAAGCAAGGTTGAGTGTCTTCTTCAGTTACATTCAACACTTTCTTTTCTTTTTCTTCCTTTCCTCTTTTTTTTTTTGAGACAGGGTATGAAAGTGAAGAGCAAATGCTTTTCTGTGTTGATCCCCTAATAATCTGTTTTCTGCATGTACCCCATGAAAACACTTTTGTGCAAGAGATTCATCCCAACCAGTCTGTGAGGTTAGCACTAGCAAGATTCTCATCTCACTGGCAATGACATGGAAAAACAGGACATGTGTTTGGGGTGACATGGAGACACAGGAGTTTTGTGTTGGGATGACATGGTGACACAGGAGGTTGTGTTGAGATGACATGGAGACAAGGAGGTTGT